TCAGGTCTTGCCCTCCTTTGTCTACCTGAAACTGCTTATCTCCAAAACATCCAGCACTCGCTGCAGATTAGTGAGAAGGTCCCCCGGTGTTACCCCAACAGTTGCTACAGATCAGTGGCAATGAGGAGCAACAAGAGAATGTTAGAAACTTCATTTTGAGAGGCTGGTGAGCAGAGTGGGATCCGCAGGGCAGCTGGAGTGAGGGGCTGTTCCTTAGCCTGGTTCTGTTCAATTCAGATGGGTTTCCTTCCCATTTATCTCTGCAGCCAATTCCTAGCAACTGTTTGTGGTTTTCTACTTAAAGCAATGATAGGTAATTAAAACATTGAACAAAACCCCAACTTCTAATTTCTATATGGTCACAGCTCAGTGAAATAAATGTGAGGGTGAAGTTATTTCTACATATCTGGAAAGGACTTCTTACACATACACAAAATAGTCAGCGTAATGGTTAATCTTTATGAATAATTTAGTGTGACCAGGTAGTCAAAACCTACAGTTAAAATTTTAAAATAAATCTTAGAGTCAAGACCTGAACACCAACCTCTGCAAGTGTGCATTCAAGTATAGTTTCTAATGCACATCTTACAAATGTGGGCTTATAATAATAGTAATAATAGCCAACATTTATTTAGCGCAAATTGTGTTTGCTTTGGTCTGAACTTGTTGTGTGCCAACTCTAGCACAGGTGCAAATAGCTAAGAGCTCCCTTTGCCCAAATAAGGAAGTGGACAGCCAGAGGAAAGAGATGATTTACTGAAAGATTGCTCAATAAGCTAGTGTAGGAGTTCTGAAGAAAGGTTGGTTCTTCTGGCTCCTGATTGTTTTTGAAATCTTGACCTTGCCCTGGCAACATTGCAACAAGGCCAAATACAACAAGGAGAGGAATCTGCAAATAAGTATGTGTGAACTTTGTACAAATACGTGGGTAGATCATGAGAAAAAAAGGTTTCCTACTAGTGAAAGTAATAGGTAGGAGATAGTTTGGCAGTTTCTTACAAAACTGAGCATACTCTTACGGTATAATCCCACAAATGAGCTCTTTGGTATTTACCCACATGAGCTGAATATTTTCTCCCACACAAAAGCCTGCACATAAAAGTTTACAGCATTTTTATTCATAACTGCAAAACTTGGACGCCTCCAAGATGTCCTTCAATACATGAATAAATAAAGGAACTGTGATACATTCAGACAATGGAATATTATTTGGTAATAAAAAGAAAGGAGCTTTCAAGCCACAAGACATTGAGGAAATTTAAATGTATATTACTAAGTGAAAAAAAAGCCCATCTGAAAGGCTACTCTATGATTCCAACTATATGACATTGTAGAAAAGGCAAAACTATAGAGGTAGTAAAAACAGTGGTTGCCAGAGATTAAGGAGGGATGAATGGGTGGAACACAGAGAATGTTTTAGGGCAGTGAAACTACTCTGAATGGTACCATAAGGGTGGATACTTATCACTGGGAGTCATTCGTCCAGATTCAAAGAAAGTGCAACACCAAGACTGAATCCTAATATAAACTATGAGCTTTGGGTGATAATGGTGTGTTCATCAATTGGTTCATCAGTTGTAACAAATGCACGACTCTGGTGGAAGATGTTGCTGAGGGAGGCTATGCATGTGTGGGGACAGGGTCTATAGAAGAACTCTAACTTCTTCTCAGTTTTGCCATTAACTATTCTAAAAAATAAAATTCATTAATTTAAAAAGTAATGAGTAGGGCTGTGGGAGTGGTGGTGAGGACAGTGGTATAACTGAGCATCGCAGAAATAAAGGATATGAGAGTAGGTCCTTGCCCTTGGGCTTATCCTAGAGGTAGGGAGAATGCAGAGATGCACCAAATTGTTGCTCGAATCTATCAAGCACCTCCTACATGCCTATCACATTTACATCGCACAATATCTTCACAAAAATCCTGCCCTGTAATTTCGGTTCAGAGAAAATCAATGATTTTTTGCTGAAAGTCACATGACCACAAAGTGGCAAGGCCAGGTTCAAATGCTGTTCAGCTGGCTCTACATCCAGTTTTCCTCTGTAATTAACTGCTGGAAAGGTAGAAGTGGTGACTAAGGGAAAGGTTTGCTTTACTAAACACATCACGCTTCAGAATCAACTTTGTATGCATGATACACAGCACAAGAATGGATGGGCTGAGTTTGTGACTAGAGGGAAAACATAAAACCACATCATCATTTATTTATTTCATCACTAAAAGAAAAATAAGAAGCTGTGAGGGAGGAGGTGATGGAAGGAATGATTAACAGAGAATCATTATTACTATCCAGAGTAATTGCCTTCCTAGAATTTCTCGTACCAAGGATGCAAGGTCATTTGTAATGGACAAACAGAGGCACACGTTCCTGGGAGTCACCTTCTCTTTGATAGCAAGGAAGGAAACCCTTGGCAGCCCTGGAGCCATGCCAGGGAAGCTTGCTGCACAGCTGGGTGCCAATATAAGGAGTGGCCTGGGCCCAGGGAAATCTATCTTGGTTCATCACAGTCACCACTTTGGCACAGGCCTCTTGACCCTTCATGTACTGATGGGAGGACTGAAGTGGCAGGAAGATGCAGAAATACAGGGGAACAGAGGGGAAAGCAGTGGGAGAATTCGGAGTAGAAAGCCGCATGCTTTCAGGACTGGCCTTTAGCTTCATTGCAATGTTTCTGTTTTGTGGCAGCCAATCTGAGAATCTAGTTCAGCAGTATGAACTCCTTTCATAGGGCCCTCCACTACAGTTACTTAAACCTTTTTAACGCTTTATCTCAGATATTGCAAAAGATTTCTGTAACTCCAGTTACAACAGAGTTTTCTCCACCCTTTGAATACCACCTAAGGGACTAATTGCTTTCTTTGGCCAATGGCAAGGCTCCAGTCCCCAGAAACATTCTCTAACCCACTAACCTGAGGCCCATCTTACATCAGGAGGTCTAATAGGAGGTGGGCGGAGCTTCTCCCACACACTACCCTAACAGGGGACATTTTCCCCGACATCCAGAACCTCACTCCATAGTTCTGGTTATACTGTGAAAAGAGAAATCCCTCTCTGAACGTGCTTTCTAGCACCCAGTGAGGAATAGCACAGAGCCTTTGTTGTAACTAAGTCCCCCAGACCCCTCTAGACCCAAGCAGGCTTCCTCAAGTCTCCTTTCTTCTCTGTAGTACACGGCTGGGACTCGGCCCATCTTCTTCACCTCTATGTTCACCCACCCTATTCTTTAATTTCCATCCTGGTGGAAGAGGGAGTTAAAATCTCCCTACCTGCCTACTTCCTTGCTACCCCAAAGAGAGAAGAAAGGCTTCACTCCTTACTGCTGCAGGGAAACAGAAGTCAACACACACACATACTCACACACTTACACAGACACACACACAATTTCAGTACCTTATAAAGCTCTTATCTGAATGTCATTAGATTAATTTTCCACTCCCGTCTCAGATGGTAATGATAGGTCCTTGTTATGGTTTAGAATATTTTCCCCTCCAAAACTCATAGCTCACTGCAGCCTGAAACTCCTGGACTCCAGGGATCCTCTCACCTCAGCCTCCTGAGTAGCTAGGACTACAGGCATGCGCTACCATGCCCAGTTTGGGAACTTAAAAATATAGTGTTGATGCCTACGTCCCACTTCCAGAGATACTGATTTAATTGGTTGAGAACCAGCAAACTATGGAGAATAGATCCAGATACACAGAAAATCCTTTTAAATAGTTAAGAAAAGACAGATAACCCAATAGGAAGGTGGACAAATTCTTTAAAAGGCACTTCATAAAGGATATCCAAGTGACTAAAAAACAAACAAAAAAAGGTACAACTTCTTTGGTAATCAGGGTAAAGAAAATTAAAACCAAATGAAATACCACTATATACCCATCAGATTTGCAAATATTAAAAGGCCTGACATTAACAAGTGTTAATGAGAATGTGGAGCAACTGGAATTCTCATCAACTGATGATAATAGTATATATTGGTAGAATTACTTTGGAAAATAGTTAAAAATTATATAACAACATTGAACATGTACTTGACCTATAGCCAGCAAATGCACTTTTGGGATTGATAACTGAAATGTATATACACATGTACATCAGGCTATATGTATAAAAATATTCATTGCTTCCTTATTCAAAATAACTAAAATGGGAAACAACCCAGATGTCCATCAATGGAACAATAAAAACTGAATTATGATTTATTTATTAGTAAAACACTACACAGCATCAAAAATAAACTCAGCCACATGCAACAATACAGAGAATCTTAAAGACATAATATTGAGCAAAATAATCAGTACACACAAAATTCCATTTATACAAAGTTCAAAAACAAAATTAAGCAATATTTTTAGAAATGCACTTACAAATGATGACTGACCAACTATCAAGGAAAGTATTTAACATTACTCTGAAAGTTCTAGAAATTCTTGATTTTCCTTTCTCAATTTCTACACCCATCACCACCCCCAGTCTTCCTCAACTCACTAAACGGCACCCTCATCCATTTAGCATTTCAAGCCGGTGAGAAGTCATCCTTAATTCTGCTTTTTCATTAATTTCCCTACTTCTAATCTATTATGTGTCTTATTAGATCTAAGATCAATATATTTCCTGAATATGTCTATTTATGTCCATTTCCAACACCGCCGCCAAAGTCTAAGCAATTATCACCTTTCTTTCTGAATTACTGCAATAGCCTCACAGCTTCCACTCTTGACCACATACACTCCATTCTGCACTCGGCCCTCATAGTAATCATTATAAAGGATAAAATGGTGTGGCCAGTTAGCTCAGTTGGTTAGATCACGGTGCTAATAAAATGTAAAACATGTCACATCGCTCTTCTGCATGGGTTCACGTCCTCCGTGTGTGTCAGGTCTTCCACATGTAGACATAGAGGTAGGGTATGTTCACACCTTCAATGACAACCACACATTTCTGCTCCAACAGGTCCAAAACTTTTCTTAGGTTTCAAAGTTGTTTTTCTGTTTGTTTGTTTTTTTGAGATGGAGTTTCGCTCTTGTTGCCCAGGGTGGAGTGCAATGGCATGATCTCAGCTCACCACAAACTCCGCCTCCCGGTTTCAAGCAATTCTCCTGTCTTAGCCTCCAGGTAGCTGAAATTACAGGCATGTGCCACCATGCCAGGATAATTTTTGTATTTTTAGTAGAGACAGGGTTTGACCATGTTGGTCAGGCTGGTCTTGAACTCCTGACCTCAGGTGATCCACCTGCCTTGGCCTCCCAAAGTGCTGGGATTACAGGCGTGAGCCACCACACCCGGCCCCAGGTTTCAAAGTTTTTAACGTCTAAAAAGCTGCTGATTTTAACATCATATTTGGTCACATGTTTAAGATGTTCTACAGATATTTTTGCTTCAAAGCTTCAAACTCCAGGTACGCCTGGGTCTCACACTACCCCCAGGTCTCACACTACCCCCAGAAATTGACAATGCTCCCCTACCCTTAGGGCTGCCCCGTACCCGTCCCACTCCTTCCCATTTAATAAATATACCTCACCTCCCTTCGCCACCTGCTGGACGCGAGTAGCTACTACGATGCCATGGGTATCCTGATTTTTTATTTCTCAGGACTGCTCTGTGTGTGTCTGGATTCTACGTAGATTTATATTGGTAAATTATCACATTTGTCTTGACCAGAAGAAATGTCATTATGGTAAAATTTAGATTCTGGAGTCTATATATGAAAACAATATTAACTACTAACTGTTGTAACAACAAAATGTGGGATTTTTATCTACAGATCACCGCCACCTTGCCAGTTCATTCAAGAATCGAATCCTGGGTTTAGCAGTTTCTGCACAAAGGAAATGGAATATTTTAAATTGATAATTCAGTCAAAAATATTAATGAAGATCTATATGGTTGAAAGAATAAATTTATTCAACTGTCTCCAATATAATCCTATTGTCACTAGATCATAGACATCAAATTGTTATTTTTCCCTTTGCTAGTAAAGGTATAAGCAGAAACAATTTCAAAAGAACACATAACATCCAGTAGGGATAATAATGAAAGCCAAAAATGGATTATTTGAAAATAATTTTAGAAGTAAAAAAACCATAGGTATGAGGAGAAAAGAGAGAAACTACAAATAAACTGCATTGTGATAAAACAATAAAGCACATGGCTAAAAGCCTATTAAGGATTTTTTTAAAATTATATTTTGAGAAACACTTGGTGCTAACAATTTTCTCAAAAGTACAAATATCCAAAAGTCACACAGAAAATAAAACAACCTACTTTCCATCAAAAGTTTCTAATTTTGAGAAAAGATAACACCAAGAAAACAATTTTAACTACAGAAACAATGGTTAGCGTAAAAAATTCATAATCAAAAAGATACACGTTTTAAGTACTTAACAAACTTATAAACCATTTCTTACATAACATTCTCCATATTTTAAGTTCATACATGTTGATATGATCAGAGTTACAATTTTTCAGAAAAGACAGGGGGAAAGGTGTGATTATCATCAGCTAGATGTGCTCACTGCATGCTCCATTATTTATCTGCAAGGCCTGGGTGACTGGAAGTGCAGTTGACAGGCATTTTAATAAACTGGACAGCCATTTGTTCTTCAGGACAAGGCGTGTTTTCCCCAGGAGCAATCAGAAGAAAACAGGAAGCAGCTCAGCACTCTGCACTGCAACAGGCCACCTTAATAGCTAACCAGCATCACTCAACTGCTACGCAGCCGGGCCTGGTGCACAAAAACACAAAAGAGATTAGACTTGTGTTTGCTAAAAACCCAGTCCTTTCACATGAAAAATCTTTATACGAATTTGGGTCATACTACCTTTTAGACCTGGAGGTAAATAAAATTATCCATATTAATTTACACCACCTTTTGTAGGTTTTTAACTTTAAGGAATGAAGGCAATGTTGAAGCAATGTCCTGACAGCGTTAGGCTGTGTGTAATGGCTGCACACGTTTCCTTAAAAGTCAGGAGGCCACAAATTAGGTTACCAATCTGTTCATTTCAAACCAAAACAGTCGTCACTATAGAAATAAAAATAAATTTTTGCCTCAAATACACAAACCCAATAATGTAATCTTAGGTCGTTCACCTCCTAAGTTACAAGAAAATGTGAATAACAACAAAACGGCGCACAGAATGAATTTTGCCACCTGATGCAAAGCTTCAAACTGGTAAAAAGGTAGAAAAGTGTGACACAACCTTTTCAATAGGCAGCCCCTTCTTCCAGGGACGTTGCTTCCATGGACTGAGTATGTGATCCTTTTCCCCAAGTCCTCCATCATGTTGCTTCCTGATGCATCATTTTCTTAAGAGGACGTCTGTCCTTCCTCTTCGGGAGACTTGGGGGGCCTCTTGGATCGAGACCTGGACTTGGATTTCCTCTTGGATACCCGGGGAGGACTCCTGGTCATAGATGAAGACCTGGACCGTGAGCGAGACCTGGAGACCGAGGAGGACTTGGATCGTCGCGCAGAGCTCGATTTGGAGGTTGATGCAGAGCGAGAGCTAGTGGAGGACCCAGACTTCGAGTGAGACCGGCTGCTGTGATATCGGCTGTGGCGAGAGCGGCGGTAGCGAGAGTTACTGTAACCAGAGGAGCTGTGGCGAGATCCGCTGTAGCGAGATTCCCTGTGGCGAGATCGGCTGTAGGGAGAGCGGCTGCAGTGCGCCCGGCTGTAAGGAGATCGGCTACAGGGAGACCGGCTATAGCGAGAACCCCTATAGCGAGATCGGCTGCGGGACCTGGAGCAGCTGGGACCCCGGGATCGGCTGCGGTGTCGCCGCCTGGGGCTG